CTAAGTCACATGGGTCCTTCCTGAGTCATTTTATTAGAAGATCTTTAATGTCAGTGGGGGGAAAACTAAAGCTAAAACTGTATAATAAGTTACCAAGATGGCTTTCACCTATGGAAGCTTTTGTGTATCCAAATGTATTGAACTTTGAAAAGATTGTAAGATATGGCAATATCCTAGATAAGGATGGTGGCCTGAAACTGGAGCAAGAAATACAAGAACAGGGACTTAATATTTCCTGGTGCTATAAGGTGCAGATGCAATCAAGATATGCTAAGGATTGTAAAACATGGGGGTTCTATAGAGACCTAACAGAATTTGATCAAGTGATGCTTAAAACAGATGAGAAAATTATTAAAAGACTATGATTTTTTACTTGACAGGAAAATGGAAGCAGAACAGGTTAAGAAAACTATGATAATATGGGCATAAAACTTTGGATTTAATGTTGAACTAGAAAAGTGGCAAAAACTATGGGAAAGAAACATTAAAGTAACTTTAGCAACTCCGTATAAAGAAAACTTATATGAAATGTTCTATAGATGGTATTTGTCACCAAGTCAACTAGCTAAGATGTTGGAAATGTAAACATAAAGTGGGTACTTTTTATCATATGTGGTGGACTTGTGACAACGCAAAAAAGTACTGGATTAAAATACATAGATGGATGGAGGAAATATTACAAAAACCCTTTGCTTTTAAATCCGAAGTTTTCTTGTTAGGCATTATACCGGAAGATGTTAACAGACAGGAAATCTATTTGATGTTGCATCTAATTACAGCGGCGAGGATTGCATTTGCTCAATATTGGAAAAGTGAGGAGCTGCCCCCTGATGGATTGATTCTAAAAAAGATCTTGGACTGTGCAGAAATGGATAGACTAACTTTATCGTTGAAGGAGAAAGAGGATACTGATTTCTATCGAACTTGGGACTCTTTTTATAATTGGCTGGAGAAACGGGACTTGGCGTAAATTTAGAGATGTTTTTCAAACTATGATAAACTAACTGGAATTTGATATTAGAATGTTAAAAAATATGTAGTAGGAGGTTAATCCAGTGAATCCAATGTTAATATTTGATGGGGATTTTTTAGTCTTAGTTTAAAAATTTTAATTATATATATATATATATATATATAAATAAAAAGGCTTAAAGCTGGAATAAACTGCTGTGAGGGGGGATTATTCTCAGGAAGATGGTGCTGCTGCTAGGAAAGGAGCACGTGGCTTGAGGACAGGCAGACATTCAGGCTATGTACCAGGGGAGAGACTCTTGCTTGTATACACACTTTCTTGCAAGGACAATTGGCTGGTTTGAAGTTTAAAAGTTGCAGCAACACATTTGCCCACTAGGGGACGGGGCAGCACAAGACATTTCAGCGCTCTGGCAATTGCTGCTCGTTTTACAGTTAGACTTGTTTTTAAATATCACATTGTTTCACCACTGCAAGATCCTGTTTCACTGCTTCTTATTTTTCTCTAGCATTCTGAAATGATCTGCCCTCCCTATTGCTATATAAAGATCTCTAATTATATTGTATGACCATCTTCCCCTTCCAATTGAAGGATTGATTAGAAGGGTGTTGGCCATTGTTATGCAGCCAGCGTGCTGAGTATATAGTCCGGAACAGGGGCCTTGGCTGGAGCCTGCCTTCCATCTGTTGCAGGACTGAAGCCACCTCTCCTCTTGTGCTGCTGTCCGCTAGACTCTGGCTCAGGAGGTCAGTCTTGTCTGAACGTCCTTTCATCCTGTGTTGGAGAGAGGAGGCCCATCTGGCATAGGCCTATGTAGTCCTCTGCCTTCCCCAGCCTGGCGCCCTCCAAGCATTTTGGACTGTATCTCTCAAGCCCCAGCCAATGTGGCCAGTAGTCAAGGAACAATCGCTTGATTGAAGGTTTGGTATGGCCTTACCTTTCTATTAAAAGTAGTACTTAAGGAATGATGCGAGTTCCTAGTCAGAAATATCTGGTTGACGTTGGGTTGCAAAAAGCTGTGTAGGAGTCTGCACATAATTCTCAGTTTTAAGTCTCCTTCCTTTTTTGGTTGATCCTGAAAATCCTGCCCTTGAAACATCCCTGTTGCCCTTGCCCCCATTCTAATTTCTAGTATGCCACGTAGACAAAAAGCTGCTGAAAAAGCTTCCCCGACTTGGTGCCCTCCAGGTTTCTTGGCCTGCACGGTCAGTTACAGCCCAGAACATCCAGAGGAAAGCAAGTGGGAGAAAAAGTACTACTGCAAAAGGATTACCTTACCACAGTCTAACCTTTCGCATGGCACCAGTTCAGACGACTGCAAGCTTGAATCAGAGGAGCAGAGTCAGCCAGGGCTCCCTGAGCAGTGCCTAGCCCGTGTGTCCACACAGTTCAGCCTCCCCCAATAGGGTGCCATTGGCCACGCTGGCTGAGAATGAACAGGAATTACAGGCTGGCATGTCCACAGGCACCAGTCTGGGGAACCTGGAAAGTCGAGCGTGCCTCTAAACTGCTGGGGTTGGAATGTACCTACCCTGCAGCAGTCTCTATTTTATTGTTATTCTGCGATTATGGCTTTCCTATAAAGTGCCTTGAGCATTAGAACAGCTGCAAATTCTGCATCAGAAATCCTGGTCTCCCCACTCCATCTGTCTTGAATTATGGACCCCAGGTTTCCTTGAGAAGAAGAAATGACCACGGAACCAGTTTAAATCAATGCCATTGCAGTTTGCCACTAGTCTGGTTTCATCATGTGTAGCCTGGCCTTGAGGCTCTGATGTTACTAAGCATTAGAATCCATGATAACATTACCAGTTATGGCAGGACAAGCTGAGCAAGCAAACCCAAGTGGGTGCTCACTTCTGGGGTTCACCAATAAGTTGAAGTGAAAATGGCATCCCTAGCTTGCAGCTTTGTAAAGGCTGAGGACCAAAACATGAAGGAAAACTTTGGAACATGATGCCCAATGTGACAACTTTCCTACTGCTTCACAGCACACTCCTTTAACAAATGGGTTGGCCCAGCTTTCTTCAACCTGGTACACTCCAGGTGTGTTGAAATCTCACTCCCAGCAGCCCTAGACATGTGTTTGAATGGCACCATGTTGGGGTGCGGTGGGCACCTTGTGGCTCTCAGAATGTTCTTCCAGCGTTATACACCGGAGCTGATGGAAGCTGCAGTCCGAACCATCTTGTCTACGCCCAGGCTGGAGCAAGCGCAGCTGGAAAGCAGAGTCATGTGGCTGCCTCCTTGACCCAAGAGTGAGGCCTTGTGGGTTGGAGTGGTGATGTGAGACTTGGGACACTGGGTTCACTTATGTACAGCAGTGTGAGGAGATCACTGGCTCTTCCTCCCCTTTGTGAATGGTCCATGAGAAAAGAGCCTATCTCAGCCCATTGGTGGAAATAAAATCATTTGCTTGCTTTTCCTGGCAAGCCGACTGCACTCTCTGCTTGAGAGGGCATTGAATAGAGGCCAGGCCTGGTCAGTTTCACATTTTTTTCCTTATCAAGTTGCCAGGCTGGAGTGGGGGTATGGAAAGGAGAATCTGATGCAAGGTGCTCCTCTCGCAAGGAACCCGACATCCAGCTGCTGCTTTTGAAGGTGTGGGAGAAACAAATGGGAATGCTGGAGTCCTTTTTGCAGAACTCCCCATTCATTTGAGGAGAACGTCACAGTGGGCTGCATACAATCTGCCTCCTACACCTCTCCCCATCACCGTGCTCCAAACCTGCCACTGGAGGATGTCAGCTGAGTGTATGGCACCAGCAAGCAAGCTAAGCCGCACGTTGCAAGGTTAAGGCAACTGGGGGCGGAAAGGTCCTTGGCAACCTCCGACCCTTTTGTTCTATGCAGCACGTTCACTGACTCGCAAGGGAAAGGTAAGTGGCACAGGAAAAAGCTGAACAAAGCCTTAGGCTGCCGGGGGTTGACCTACTGCATGGGCGCACATGGCACTGGCAGTGGGGCTTTGCTGTGGCTTGTTCGTGAATGGACCCAAGGCCAGGCCTGCTCTCCGGTGTGCCTCCAGCATGGTGCCGCTTCTGGATTCAGCAGTCAGAGAGGATCGGGGAAGGCAATAGAGGCATGGCGATGCACACTTGCAGGGCACTGTCTTATACTGTGGGCTTCACCTGCGACAATGTGGCCCAAGGTTGGCCATCACTACCACCTTCTTTCAGGTGCGGCTTCTGGATTAATAATGAAACACCAGACCCTTGCCAGGAGCAACTGAGTTGGCAAAATCCAGGCAGCTTTTCCGATGGGTGAGTATGTAGATGGGTAAGTTCATGTGGTGCCTAGGAACGTGCGCTGCCGGCCAGGAGGGCAGCCCACCCACACCTCAGCCAGAAACTTACCAGGCCTATTTAAGCCATGCACCTAGAGCAGGCCTGTCTCCCGCATGCACGCACACCGTTTTCTCTCCAGTGAACCCTAGGAATTGCAGTCCACCCAACAAGAGGGAAGCAATTGGGTGGGAAAGCCATGAGAGACAACCAGAATAACCTTTGGTGGTATTTGTGCTGTAGGTGGCTTGAAGCAAGCTGCCACTCCTCCTTCACCATCCCGAGACTGCAAATTCAAGTTGCTTATCATTTCACCCTCAATTCACTTCTTCCCCTCATCTGGATTTGGGCCTGGAAGATGAAGGAAAAGTGTGGATACATGGAAGGCAAGCACTCTTTTGGACAGAGCACAATTTTGTTGCTGATCTCTGGGTACAGCTGTTACGGCTTGAGGCAATATGCAAGAGCCTTAACTCTGGTTTTAAACAGACAGGGTTTTAAAAAAAGGAAATCATTTAATCATTTGTCATTATTCATGCCACTCCCCAGGTTGGAAAAGGACTGCTGGTGTGGCTCTGAGTTGCTCAGGACTAGGGAATGTGAGCTAGGACCCTTCGCCCTCCTCCACTAGCCTGCTGTTTGGGCCCCCAGGCTTCTCCAGCTGCGGTATTTGATGAGGCTATTACCAAATAAGATGCTAATAAGCAGAACATCTTTGTTGAGCAGCGCTAGTCCAGCTCCGGAACACAAGACTCATTCTCTCACCCCCAAGCACAGCCAGAGGTCCTGCTTGCCATTGCATCTGACTTTAATTGAAGATCTCTCATTCTCTTTCTTGCTTTCTCTACTTCCCAGGAACTGACATGTAAAAGGCTCATACTGGCTTTGGTGGTGGCCCTAACAGAGGTTATACCATCAGAATTAAAACAAAGTGCATAGAATAAACATCATGGAAAGGGGAGGAGGGTGAGGGGCTGGGGGCCCTCGTGCCCTGGCGGAACACAGGCCCAGGGCTCGTGGCAGGAATGGCGGGATCTTCTCTCAGTCCGGCCCAGTGAGAGTGTAACGTCTGCACCATGTGAGAGCTTAGCTGGAAGGCCACGATCCAAGTCTCTGTGGGGCGCCACCTGCTGGCAGGGAGTCCACTTGTGCCCAAGTGCCACACCGTGTTGAGCATTGCTTGCCAGATCCATCGTGTGGCACAAGGCCATCTCAGCGAGGATGCAGGAGGCGGTGCAGAGGGGAGGAAGAGACTGCTCGGCGCTGGAATGTGCCCAGACTGATTTGGTGCCAAGCTGGCAGAGGGATTCAGGCACATGCGGAGAGTGCAGATGTCACTGCATGCATATGGGTATGCTTTGTGTCCAGACCTGTAAGTTACACACAAGTATGCAGGAGCCAGTATTTGCATAGTGGCACGTAAAAAGTGGGCTCTTCCCGACATGTGGATTAATGCACTGCAAGCCAGTGAGAGCAAATAGGTGACGGTCTGAATGTCTGTACCTGTGTATGCATCTTAGAACACCTGTGCATGGGCATGTGCATTCAAGATGTGCAGTGTACATGGCAAGCACACCAAAATGGATGGAATGCATAGATGTGAAACAGAATGGAAGGGAAGGGTGGTGAAGGCCAGGCAGTGCATGACAGTATGCCCAGGGAAATGGGGGCCTAAGCTGCGAGTGAGTGCAGGGCGTGTGTGTGTGTGGGGGGTGTGTGTGTCCATCCGTCCGTCCATGGGTCAGCGGGTGATTGCACATACACCAAGCCAGGTGGGTCCCTCTCCAACAGCCAGGGCATCGCATTTCCCTCCCTTTCAGCAACTGCAGGGGAGCCATGTGAACTAAGCCAAGAGGAAAATCTAGTCTTTCAGCCATTCCTCCAGAGGCTCATCTCTACAACCAGCACCTGTGCCCCTCCAGGGAGTGTGTGTGCGTGCATGTGTGTGTGAGAGTGAGAGTGATGCCTACGCTAGACTACTGGCAGGGCACACGACCAATTTCCGAGCCTGCTGCCGGGGCCAGATCGAGGGCTCCTGTTCCTGAGGGGAGGGCACTGCGGCTGGGTGCGCAGCCCAGGTTCACATGACGGAGCAGCACTGGCACGACTTCTGCTTGCGCCTGCTCTGCCCCTGCTCTGGGCTCTCCCCTTGGCGGGGCACTGCAGGCTGGAGCTGGCATGAGGAGGCAGTGTTGGCAGAGGTGATGGTGTAGGTTGGCGCCTCCTGGCTTGTGGACTTGACGATCCCAGCATTGGGCTCGTGGTCTTTTGCGGAAATGTCCAAAGGGGCGACCGAGGCCTTAGCTTCGTTCAGGAGAGGCTGCTGCTCAGCCTGAAGATTTTCCAGGACGTCACCTGCCTCTTTTGTTGCTGCTGTCGAGGCATGGCTGACAGCTCCATCTTCTTTGAGCTCCTGACCTCCTGCTGTTGCAGCCTTGTCCAGGAGGGGCTGGACAGCATCTTGGCTGGAGGAGGGCAGGACATCAGGCAGGGCTGTGGCGTCCTGCAGTGCTGCGCTTTGGGCTTCACCGGGGGACAAGGCCTGGGCTGTCAGCGTTGGGGTCTCTTCTAGAAGAGTTGAGAGGATTGGCTTTTCTGGAAGGGGCATTTCCTGGCCCTTCAGAGGAGTTGGCAACTGCTCTGCCAGAATCTCTTGGGACTGGTCGTGAGGTGGCCCTTTCTCTCCTGGCAGACAGGGCAAGGTCTGATTTGGCGGCGAAACCATGATCTGGCCTGGAAGAGTTCCACTTGCCTCTTGCAGAGAAGGAGAGCTTGTATCCTCCAGAGATGCAGGTTTCTGATCCTGCAGAACCAGCGGAGGCTGGTCTGGCACAGATGCTGAAGTGTCCCCAGGAACTGATTGTTTAGCTTCATCTGTAGGGTACCCTTGGCCTGAAAGAAAGTTGTTGGTCTCTGGCAGAGAAAGGTTCTGGGTCTCTGAAGATGTTGGCATTTGGTCCTGCAGAGCTACTGGAATTTCTTCTAAGGACAACCCTTCAGCTTCTTGAATGGCAGTGATGTGATCAGGCAGAGAAGAAGGTTGATTAGTCAATGAGAGGGCTACCTCTGAAACGGATCCTTTTGTCTCCAGTTCCTGACCCTGCAGAGCTGCTGATACTGGGCAGGATCTCTCTGTTTCATACAAAGAGGGAAGATGTTGCCCTGGAAGAGCTGTTAACGGATCTGGAAGAGATGACAGGTTCTCAACTGGCATAGAAGCACTCTGTTCTTGCGGAGTGGCTGGGATCTGGTCCAGAAGCTTCCCATTAGCATCACATGCAGGAGATGGGATCTGGTCCAACAAACATTTAGCTTCTTGCAGGGAAGTGGCCTCACCCTGTAATGAAGATGGTTTCTGTTCCAGGGAAGATAGATAGTCCTGTTGAGAGGGTGGATTTGGGTCTGAAGGAGGTTCCTGCCATGAGGATGGGGGCTGAGCTGGAAGAGGCTCCTGACTTTCCTGCAAAGAAGGACCCTGGTCCAGAAGTGTGGATGGACATGAATTTGGTACCAATGGTAGTACTGGCTCTGGAGGCAAACCCTCAAGGCTCTGAGAAGATGATGGGGTCTGGCCTAGAAGTGACCCTTTAGCATCTTGCGGAGAAGGGTGCTGAGCCTCAAGTGGAAATTGCTCTGGCAGAGATGATGTAAGCGAGCTCAGAAGGGGCTGTATGGTGTCATCCAGAGAGTTTGGAACTGGCACTGCTCGCACAGGAGCGCTCTCACCTGGAAAAGACGGCTTGGGCCGATCCTGCGAGAACTCCTGTCTGTCTCCTCCTTTCCCCAGCAGAACTACCTCTGATCCTGGCAGCTCCTGCGGTCCCTGCTTCCCAGCTTGGCTCTCCTGCTCCTGTGCCCTCGGGTCATCGCCAGCTGCCAGGCCTTGAGCAGGTTCTTGCTCCTTGGTTCCCTGTTCTGGCAGTTCCTTCTGCTCCACTCCCACCTCAGCCACCTCCTTGGCCAGGGAGCCCATCTCTAGCTCCCAGTCTGAGTTCTGCTTGGGGGAATCGAGGCCACTGGTCTCTCCCTGCAGGGCCCTGGAGGAACTTGACTCCTCCTGGAAAGTGGGGGACTCCCCTTCTGGGCCATCACGGCTGCCAAGTTCACCGTCCTGTTGCCGTTCTGCAGCTCTTGGATTCTCCTCTTGACACACAGCCCTGTGAAGAGGGGCCAGGCTACATCCATTCCCCAGGTCAGTGTGGCCCTCCAGTTCTTCCTGCTTCCCAATGGAGCTTTGTTTCTGTCCAACAGCATCCATGCTGCCCACTTCCTGGCCCAAGTGGTCCCTGATGACCATCTCCTCCATTGCTAACTTCCTCTGGTGGCCAGCAGGGGCTTCACTAGGCTCCGAGCTCTGGCAGGAGGGCTTCACTGCAGGAGCAGCCTCTGGCCTCCCCTGATGAGACTCCGTATCCCCAGCTTCTACAGCCACAGGACTCACTTCGACTTTGGCCTTTTCGGGGCTGCATTCTCTGCCGGATCCACCTTTGGAGAACAAAAACAATATGATGTCAGATGCTTCGGTCCTTTGATACATTCTCCTCATTTAGGTTCCTCCAGTAAAACAAAGAAGCCAGGCTGGACAAGCCGCTTGATGACATCTGGCCCTTGACTCATTCTCTTGATGCATCAGAGTGACAAAACCATATTGGACTTATATCAGTTTGCTCCATCATGGCTTCCTTCCCACTCCCAACAACCTGGGAATTACTGAAGACACTAAAACTGAACTGCAGTTTCCAGAGTTACCTGAGAAAGGGGCAAAACGACTGACCCAGTTCACATTGGTAGAGAAGATACACCCGAAGATTGGAAGCCAGGTCTCTGGCCCGATTCTTTCTCTTGCTGGTGAAGGTACTGCTCCTCAGCCCTTTCCTGTCTTGAGTGCTAGTTTCCCAGCAGCCCTTCTAAAGGGAAGCAGGAGGCTGGCCAGCTACGTTGCCGGAGCGCCTTGCCTGTATTGCCTGCTTGCGGGCCTCTGCTCTGGCCCTTCCAAAGCCTGCCCTTTTGCCGTGTCCCCACCTGGCCTGCCCCCTCCTTTTTCCTTTGCTCCATCCTACCCCGTGTCCTGGCTGGGGTCCTTCCCAGCTGCCTCCCTCCCCTCCACTGGCCCTGCTCTCAAGCCTTTCAAGGAGGCCTTTGCAGGAGCACACCTGTTCCCCCGTGGGAGGAGAGAAGATCCGCTTCAAGCAGGAGAAAAGATGTAGGCCAGTCCTAGGTAAAAAAGGTGGAGAGCGCTTTGGCATAACCTCTGAATCGCCATTCACAGACTCTCCATCTCACCAGCCTCACAGTTGTTGCGAGGATGAAACAGAGAGGAGGAAGAGGAGGAGGAGGAGGAGGATCATGGATGGGCGTCTGCACTACTGCACACCACTGCATTTGCGTACATTTACCCTTCCTGACACTCGTCTGATTCTTCTATTTCTTAATTGCCTGATTTGGACTGCAAACTCCTTGCAGGCAGGGGCCGTTCTGTTGTGTGTCTGTGAAACCCTGTAAAGCACCAACTGCACTGATGGTGCCCTACGACCCACAACACGGCGGCTTTTCCTTCCACAGCAGCACCGTCATTCAACAGTCCTTCAGCTGCCGAGCTTCAGGGGACCTAAGCAGCAGAACTCCTTGCAAAGCAGCCACGGAGCCCTTTCCTGCTGCAGAGCAGGGCTAGGCCACACGTGGCTCGCAGAGCACCCGGCCCGTGGCATAACTCCAGGAGTCCTCCGCAAGCCGTCGCTTCGGACCTCGGGAAAGAGCAGCCTGGCCTTCCCACGGCAGCTTGCGGCAGGGAGGAGGGAAGGCTGCAAAAGGAGCGGTCAGAAATTGAGGGAAGCAGGGTGGCCCCACCTGCCACCTGCCAGCCTCCCAGAACGTGGCCCATGCAACTCGGGATAGGAAAAGGATCTCCCTTCTCCATCACAGAGGATTTGGGGAAATGTTTTGAAATGCAATGTTCTTTTCATGGAAGGGCACCCACAGGCCTTACTGTCCCTCCGCGTGCACCGAAGTGGCACTCCCAACACACCCCATTCTCCCCCGCGGCTCAGCATCTCAGGGCAGCCTGTAGCAAAAGGCAAGGCAAACGGTGTTGTAGGGCTGACCCTTCCCCAGAGCGCTGTTTGGAAATCAGCGGTAAGAGCTCCTGTGCCGTTCATGAGCCACGCAGAACAGTCCTTTTGGCCCGTGTAATCCCTAGATCTCACAGGATGGGGAGGAGACGTCTCCACCCACCCCATCCCTGCGTGTATAGGGTGGTCATGGAGGGAAAGCATGGCCCCCTGACACACACTTCTCAACAGGCAGGGATGAGGAGGCTTACTCTGCATTTTGCTGCCACTGAGCGGCAGGTGAAAGAGACTCCCGCCTCAGCAGCCCCCTCTGAGACTGTCACTACGAAGAGGCAAAAGCAGCCCTCTCAGACACTTCCTCTGCCCCACACATGTGCAGCCCAGCCCATCAGCTGAGTGATGGGGTGGCATGGGGGGCGGACTCGGCTTGTGCCCCCCCACCCTCTTTTTGCCAAAGGGAAAAAGGCAGGGTGCAAATGAAGTAAATCGATGCAACAAATGAGCCCCCAGAGAAGGCCCTCTGGAAGAGAGCAGGGGAGGCGCACGCTGTGCCCTGGCAGACATGAGTGCCAGCTGAGCAGGCGAGCAGCCCTCAGGCTCCAGGAGGCGGCGCTTGCGGGGAGGCGGTGCATGGCTGGGGCACCCACTGAGCGGGACTAGCTGGAGCTGGGCAGAGCTGGCCTGCTGGGAGCAAAGCGAGTCCGGAGCAGAGGCAGGCACCGCTTCTCGCCCTCCTCTCCTCCTGCAGCCCGAAGCTGGAGCCTGGCTCACGCCAAGGCCAGCCTGAGGCACTAGAGAGCCAGCTCCCACCCCCTCACAGCGGCTGGCTCTGAGGTGGCCATCCCGCCCCTGCCAGCTGCGCTGTGGGCGCCAGAGCACGGCTGAGGGCAAGCTGGAGTGCCCACGTGCAGCAGGCGGCCAGGGCAAGAGGAGGGCAACAGGCCCGGCTCGTGGAGCCCCTCCTTTGACAGCCACAGCCACCTGAACAGTGCCCTGGAATCTGGTGCATCTGAAGGCGTCTGCAAAGAGCTCTATCTGATGGGCTAACGGGGGAAACGAAATCTCTGCTCCCGTCCCTCCTTCAGCTCCCCGCTTGCTTTTCCTAATGGAACCCTTAGACATGAAGCGGAGGGCCAGGGGTTGCACCTTCCTCAGGCTCAAAGCCAAGAGCAGGACGTCATGTGCTTTTCATAAGGAAGAAGGAACATTCTGCACCAGTCAGCCCACTTCTGCACTAAAATGCCCAGAAGTCTTCAGTCAGCCATGCAAATTAAAAACATTCACCCTTCCACACATGCACAACCCGGGCATGATTTATCCCGCCTTTGCCAGCCATGGAATGGGGTGAGGAGCTGCACAGGACTCCTGCCCCCAACCAATCCAGAAGGTCCCAAGAGCAGACATGCTGGATCAGACCTAAGACCTGTCTAGCCTGGCGTTCTGCTCACACAGCGACCCACCACATCTTCCAGCAGGAAGCCCACACTCAGGATAGGAGTCAACGGTTGGCGTTAATCCCACCTGTTTCCCAGCAACCAGAGCGCACAGTCACTCCCTGCGGATGTGTGCCATCAAGTCATATGTCGACGCTATGAATTAATGCTCTCCACAACGTCCTGTCCCTCATGCAATGCCCCTGCATTACTCTGCTCTTGGAAACTCAAGGCTGTGGCTTCCTTTATGGAATCAACCCATCACATCCTTGGCCCTCTCCTTTCTCCGCCTCTGATTTGGGAGGTAGCTTACACTATCAGGATTAGTAGCCATGGAAAGCTTTCTCCTCTGTGAATTTCTCCAGTCCCTTTTCAAGGTCATCCAAGTGGATGACCAACACTACATCTTGTGGTAGCAAACTCCACAGCTTAACTGTGCACTGTGTGAAGAAGTACTTCCCTTTTACTAGCCCTGAATCTTCTACCATTCAGTTTCATGGGATAGCCATGGATTCTAGGATTATGAGAGCAAAAACCCTTCTCCATGTCCACTTCCTCCACATTGTGTGCTATTTTGTACACCTCTAGGGGCATGCTTCTCCTTACTTACCTTTTTCCTAAGCCAAACATTCCCAACTTTGTAACCTGTTCTCACAGGGAAGTTGTCCCATTTCCTCGATCATTTTGGTTGCCTCCTTTGGTTGGAGTCCTTTCTCCAGTTCTACAGTCCAGCTTTTTTGAGGTGGGGCAGGCTATGTGCCACGTGTGGGTTCTTCAGAGAGCTGCATAGGGGCAGCACAGCCTTGGTCTTCTGAGGTCACCACATTCAATCTTCTCCCCACTCCCCCATGCCTAACAGTACACCCAACGCTCTGCTTTCAAAGGAATGCAGAGATTCTCCGCAGCCCCCTCTCCTGGTCCATTGCGCTCCAGAACATTGCCCTTTGCCGGGATCTTAGCTGTGGAAGTTCCACCCAAATGCCATTACTCAAGCGCAGTTTTTGCGAGTTATCAGTACCCACCAACTCCTGACACGTCTCCATTCTGCAGTTTCCCCTTGGGTGGGATGGGACTCAATTCAGTGATACTTCTCCTGACATGGAATTCAGGAGGAAGGATCACATTCAGACAGGGTTTCCACGTCCCCTCCAGGGGCAAGTGGAGTCTTGGAGCAGAGGAGCCCTGCTTCAAAGGTCAAAGGGGGAACCTAGTCTGTGTGGGACATGACATGCGGGGAGGTCAAGTGGAAGCACCTTGCTGCGGCTGGTGGTTCAGGGCAGAGCATGTGGACTTGGGTACAAAGAAAATAATCCATGTCTTTGGTTCAGTCCATAACCCTGGAATTGTAGTTCATTCTCCCACAATGTGATCCACTCCAAGAGTTTTGGACTACAGTTCCTAATATTCCTAACCTCAACCATGCTGACTGAGGCCAATGGGAGTTGAAGTCCAAGACATCTGGGGGATACTCAGTTGGGAAGGCTGGTTTAGCTCATCTCCAGGAAAGGGAGATTGAAACACTGAATGGTCTGCCAAATGGTCAACATGCTTTCATATTGATTCATACTGATTCACATCTATGAGAACAAGCCCATGTCTGCAAGAAGAGAAAACTCTGAGGAGCATACAAGAGCAGCCTGCACAAGCCGGGACCCGTGAAGCTGCATGAAGCGGAGCTGAAGTGGCACGTGATGGCTGGGTGCAAGAAGCCTCCTGGCTGTGCGCCCAGCGACTGCAAAAACAAAGCAAGGGAGCTCATATGCAACCTGTCAGCCACAATTCAGAGCTTTGTGGCACGTCATAATCTCAGGCAAGCTCTGATGCAGTATCCTGTTGGGATAGGAGGGGGAAAGACAGTGCAGAACTGACTGGGAGAGGAGGAACGAGATTCTCACTGCCTAGGAAAAGGACAGAGAAGACCTGTGGAGTGCAGGCTGGGGTGCACAGAGAAGGGCTGGAGGTGGAATAAAGGCTGCCTAAACCACAGGCCTTCCAGAGCTGGACTCAAGAAGATCAAGCAGAAACACCTTGGAAAGAAATGGGAAAAGGTTCCACGATTTTGCCCTTATCTGAACACCCTGTAATGTTGTGCCAATAGGCCGGAATAGATAAAGAAATTAAACTTTTGCTTTCTTAGAACAAACAGTGATACATGAATCACAGACTGTGTTAATTCCAAGTTGCTCCAAAGCTTAGAACCTGCCCTTTGAAAACAAGCAACTGGCTGAGGACCCATTTTCAAGTCTGTGTGTGTGTGTGTGTGTGTGTGTGTGTGTGTGTGTGAACATTTTGATACATATTTGAAGCAGGAAGTTGCAGAATAAACCTGGGGAAGTAAGCGTGCTTTTACCCCTATCATACTCCACCACCTAACCTGTCACCACAAATAAATAAATCCTAACAGGCAGAGTCAGGATAAAGTGAAAAGAGTTTTGGGATAGGATGTGGGTTCTTGGATCAGAGACAGGACTGAACCTGCATGGAAGAGAAACTAGCATCTCCACAGAAGTCCAAATCCTCTTAACGTCAATGACAGAAGAGTTCCCAGGTGCGTTCTGTTCACAGTGATAAAGTACTCCAGGAAGTCTGTATACCAGCAAATGCAACACCTTCTAGAGGTGGGAAAGCTACTCACCACTTGGAGCAGAAGAAGACATCTCATCAACCTGAAAGCAAAGAAAGAAACATTATGGCAACACTCCTTGAAGAGACCACAAGTGACCCCAATAAAATTTCCTTAAGATTTCTTGCACACATTCTCAGAGTGCTGTTGCTTCATCACAGTTGCAGCGTTCCTTCCCTCAGACAAGCTCAGTGCGGTGTGTGGTTCGCCTACCCTTCCTTTCCCGCAGCCTTTCAAAGCAGTCTGAGCAGGCATGCAGTCTGCCATTGGAAGAAAACGGTTCCCCCACTCTGCATCACACCCTGGGTCAGCTCATTTCACACAAACTGATACGCTTCTCCCATTTCTCATGGCCACTCCTCCCTGTTGCACACCCCATTAAAGCAGTGCTAATCTTCAGCAAATGCATCTGATGTCTCAATCCACCGCCACAGCCACTTCCCACTCTGGGAATTTTAAAAATCTAATTTCATCCATATCCACTCGTTTTACTGCAGACACCATGATCACCCCCATCTGCCCCCCAATTCATCTCTCTGGGGAGGGGAGTGTTTCCTCTTCTCAGGCAGCTTCATACTCAGCAGCATCTTCCTCCTTCACACCTTTTCAGAGTCGCTTTCCCTGTGTGTATAATTCAGCAGGCGGCCAGTTGCTGGCTTTTGTTTTAATTTTCAAAGTGAGCCCACATCCTGAGCTGAGGAGGAAGCCTCCAGAAGAGGCAGCCAGTGCAAGATGAGACAGCAACGAAATGCAGCAAGGCACAGGCCAGCTTCCCCTGGGTCCAGCTCAGATGGGCTAAGCGGGGTTGCTTTCCCTTGCTATTTCTATCTGGTTTCAGCTGCTGGAGTCTTTTGGAGGCATTTGCTCTGCAGCCTGATTCTAAGTAGGTTTGCTCAGAAGTAGACTCCATGGAGTCTAACGATATTTCCTTCCTATCAGGTTGCAACTAAAGTAAGATGAGCATGGCTGTTTTGCATATAATACAGGTATATTTATTTATTTATTTATTAGGGGAGATATGATAGCACTCTACAAGTACTTGAAAGGCTGTCACAGAGAGGAAGGACAAGATCTCTTCTCGATCATCCCAGAGCAAAGGACATGGAAGAATGGGCTCAAATTACAGAAAGCCAAATTCTGGCTAGCTATCAGGAAAAAGTTCCTGACTGTTACAGCAGTACAATAAAGGAGCCAATGACCTAGGGAAGTTGTGGGCTCTCCCACACTGGAGGCACCCCAGGTGCAGCTGGACAGCCATCTGAAAGGGGTGGTTTGACCTGGAGTCCTGCACTGAGCAGGGGGTTGGACCCGATGGCCCTCTGGCCTCTTCCAACTCTGCTAGTCTGTGATTCTATTATATTTATATCCTGCATATTTTCCTTCCAAGAAACTCAAGGATGTTCACATCATTCTCCTCCTCCTCTTGATCTTATCCTTACAACGAAAACCCTGTGAGGCAGGCTGGGCCGAGAGTCTGTGACTGGCCCAAAGACACCCATTGAGCTCCATGGCTGAGTGAGGGCTAGAATCCAGCTCACCTGAGCCCAGCTCTGCACTCTTCACCACTACCAGTGTGCACATCATCCCCGTTCTGCCTGTGGCACACTGGGATCTGGATTGCACAGGCTGGCCCACGGGGCCTGCTTTGCCTTTCTGGCAGTAGGTGAGAGAGAAGGCCCATTTCAAACCTGGCACAGGTTAGGATCTCTCTTTGGATTGTGACAGAATGGAAGACTATGGACCTTAGGAACTAGGTGGGCAGTAGAAGTCAATGTCCAGGACAGATAAAAAGGGCTACGAAAGCACTGGTATCCTGTTCCCGGAATAAAGTCCTGGTATGTGGACATTCACTTAGCTTTGGCCATGTTTTAGGCTCTTCTCCATGGACTTTTTTTTTTTTTAAGTATGCTGAAATTCTCAAGGTGCCAGATTGTGTGCCAGATTTCCAGTTGAGCACCTGCTTAAAAATCCTGTAGCTGCACAAAGAAATTAGACATCTATTCATACCTGCCCAGTGCCATCCAGGGATCTCTGTGCCACTTCTTTCAAAGCCTTCTCAGACTCCTCGGGCTGAACCTCTGGCTCATCCAGCTGCTGCATTTGCGACTGGAGGCTTCAGAGATAGAGGGAAGCAGCCAGTGAGGACAACATGCCAAGCCCTTAGAGACTATGATGTAACAGGAAGCAAAGCATCTTAGAGCACATGAAGTTAGAAACCAAAGATCTCTATTAGGATGATGCCGTAGAGACCTGCAAACCGGGACTCCATTCACAGGAGTCTGAAGGACCTGGCCCTAGACTGGATTACAGTAAATTCCCTCTCTGGGACCTTCTTCTGAAATGTATTTGAAACCAGCAATTCATTCAAACTATGGGAATCAGTTAACTGGCTTTCTAAAGTGAATAAAGGTGGAGCCTAGCAGGTTCCCACTATTGGGATGCAACCACGCGGAAGGCCTCCTTTCTCACACCCGCTGGCCTTATTTCAAGAGGCCAGGGCAGTGTTTCTTCTGCAGAACTTCCCTAGAAGACTTTAACAGATGTGAGGAAGAGGTGGTTCTGAAGATATCCTAGTTTCAAGCTGTTTAGGGGTTTAAGGACCAAAATCAACACTTCAGATTGTTCCCAACCCAGTAAAAGACCTGGGTTTGCAAAGAGGTTTCTCTGTACTGCTGAGAGTGCTACAGATTGGCTTTAATCAAGGGCTGCTTTATTAATTTGATGTTGTTAGTCTATTTTATCATTATACATTGTGATTGATTGTGTTGCCTTATGCTAAATGCACTCTGCTTGGAGGAGTCTCTAGGTGGCAAAGCAGTACAGAAAGGTTAAAATAGCTGTATAGCATTATCTGAAACTGGACATCTTAAGTCTGATTCCAGACTTTCTATATCTTGGAGTACAGGCTGAACCCTTCTAAATAAAATCTTGTAGGAAGAGGAAGAATCAAGGTAGGGTGCTATGCAAAGAGTTCCAACATGGACTTCAATGCAACAAGTGTTCTTCAAGACGGCCAGTTACATCAAACTCCATTCTGGAACTGTCAGCACAGTATTCATCTTGAATCCTCCACTGCCTGCTCCATGGGTAATTTGCCCCAGCAGCCCTTTATAATAATACCATGAGTTCATCACAGTGATTTTTTTCTACTGACATTTTTTATTTGGACAAATCCTGTGTGCCTCCTTGCGATGTGTGTGTGTTATGTGAAAAGTTGCACAATTACGCAATGGGATTGCTGTGGCTTCCTGCCCAGCTCCACTTGCTTAGCATCTACTTTTGCACAGCCTATGGGCTACTCTGCTGCCGCCGCCACTGCTAGAGGACCATTCAATTCTCAGGAGTGCTGCTGACTCATCGCTCCAGCCGGCTCCCCCAGCCCCCACCTTGCTCCTTGCCAGCTTCCTCAGGCGAGGCTGTGCTGTCAGGCTTCTCAGACCTGCTCTTTGTTTGTTTGTTTGCTTGTTTGCTTGTTTGGGTTTTTGGGACGGTGGGGCTGCATCTTCTCTTCTGTAAAGGAGACATCACAGAGACAGGAGGGAGGCACGAAGCGCCAGCTAAACAGCCCTCCTTCGTGTCCCCTGAGGACCACAATGCCATCATCAGTTTCCATCTTCAGCATCAACCAGAATAGCACATGGCTGTCATTGTTATTCACTTGCATATCGCCAACAAGAGGAGAAGTTCATGAGCTGAGTGGCTTACCATGTAGAGAGAAGGGAAGCACGGAGACAGGAAGGGGGAGAAATGAGAGGCAAACAGGGCAATAATATGTGCTCCTCTGTTACAGTACTTAGGCTTAATTATACTCGGGTAGTCTTGCCCAGGCTGGACTACAGTATCCATTATCCCTGGCCATGCTGGCTGAGGATCGTGGAGGCAGGGCCAAGACACAACCAGAGGGTTTTGTGAGCTGCCCCGAGGCTTCGGCGAATGGGGCGGCATAGAAATTTTCTAAAGAAATAAAGAAATAAATAAGGGTGCCAGGGTGGGAAAGGCAGCTCCAGGGCAGAAGGATGAAAGGGCCAAGCCACAAGCTGGGACAGGAGAGGCTTGAAAGAAGTAGGGGAGGAGGCAGCATCATGCAGGTGTCCTGGGACAGCTCCACGCATGAGGAGCAGCCCGGGGAAGGGCCAAAGTTGCCTGAGGGGGCGAGGGGGCAGTAGGAGACGGAAGGTCACAGGTGAGAGCACGGTGGCACCTTGGTGATTCATCAGCTGCTGCTACACCCTGCAGGTGGCAGCAGTTGAGGGCAGCGGGGTGGGTCTCCAGAAAACATCCTTGTCTTGCTGCTGCCTGCTGGTCCCATCGTTGCCTTTGCATGCTGCGACCCTTGCGCAGCGCCTAAAGCCGTCACTCTGCTTCATTGCTGCTGCTGCTGCTCTGTGCTAGGCGGTGCCACAGTGGGAAACCCTCCCGGCGCTCCCCAGACTGACACAGCCCACCAGGACACACCCACCTGGACAGGTCCTCTTCCAATCCTTGGATGCGAGCCTGTGCCTCCCAGACAGAAGACATGTGATTGCTGTCATCAGCGGGTGCGGACATCCCTTCCATCAGCCACCGATCCCGCAAGGATTTCCTCTAAGGAGAGAGAAAGAGGATGCGCCGCGAAGCTTGCCTGCCTGCCTGCCTGCCTTGGACACGCACACGAAGTGGACACGTGGGCTGTCAGAACACATCAGGGCAAGACAACTGACTCCCAGTCAGAAATACATACACGCATTCAGGCACACACACAAAGAAATTCACCCTAGCCTCATTCAGAACTGCATGTAATTCAAACACACACGCACATCTGCCCGTATAATGCATGCAGGCAGGCGCACATGAAACCACATGGCTTGAATGCTGAATAGGTAGGTGCTGAACACACCCACTAGTGCAGATACTACATCCATAATTTTCACAAAGATTCTCTTTCTCATGCACACAGATGTGCTAGCCAACCATTTGCACACATAGGCAGAACATGTGTCCACAAATAACCAGTGTGTGTGTGTGTCTCTCACACACACACACAAATGCACAACCTAAGCATTCACACACAAAGGATCACATAACCAGGGTGTGATTCCCACGCCCTAAATTCTACGAGTGCAAGCATCTGCGCACAGGTGCCCCTGCCCATTTGCACAAGTGTGAGCTCAGCGTTCGTCGTTTGCACAAGATCCACCAAGACAAAGGGCAAAACCAGGCAATCAACGTGCATCTGCATCTGTGTGAGCGAGCATGGATGTGAGCAGCGCCAATGCGCACATATGACCCACGGCACACGGTTAGCGCTGCCCTCGTTCCCCGGGGGGAGCGGGGCTGTTCGGCATGTAGTCTCACCCCCGGAGGTCCACACTGGTCCCTCCCACTGAGAACAACTCCCCCCAACCCGCCCCTCCTGCCGCTTTCATCCTTCCACTCCCGCGCGGCCGCTCCCCCCGCCACCCCCCGGACCATCCACTGCTGCATCCCTTTCCCGGGTGGTACCTTGAGGCGCTGGGCTCGCAGCTTCTCCTCCTCCAGCTCCCGGCGGGTGGCCAGGATACGCTCCTGCAGCCTGCGCCGCTCCTGCAGCAAAGCAAGGGGACCGGGGCGGGGGGGTGAGGCGAGGCGAGGCGAGGCAGGAGCCGCCCTGCAGAGGGGCGGACAAAGGGCCCGCCGCGCAGGAGAGCAGGGCGGTACCGAGCCCACGTGGCCGACAGACGGGCGAAGCTCCTGCCTGGCCGAGAGCGCTGCCGAGGACTTAACCCCAGCAGCACCGGCTGAGCCTCACGGGGCCATTCCTAGACCAGCCTCTCCAGCGCGGCACCGCTCGGGAGCGGGCAAGAAAGAACCCACAGGCGCCTGTCCCCCAGCCTCTTTCGCTCCGGAGAGGCCGATCGCCCGCGTCCTTCGTGCTCCACCTGCCTCCTCGGTGCGTCAGCGCCGGCTCATCTGCCCGTTGGAGGGTGCAGTCCGTGTGCCGGCGCTCCCCACCTTTAAAGGCAGCAAATGCTGGGAGGAGGAGCGGGGAGACTGTCCCCCCTACTGCAAAGGTCCTGCCCTCTTAACCCTACCAGCACTACCAGTGCACATGTCCTTTCCCCACTTCGTCTGGGGTGCTTCTTCGAAGCCATGTAGCGAGATCCTGCTCTTGGCTCCTTAAAGACTAACAGATTCAGTGCAGCATTAAAAAAAACATTTGTACTCCACCTTTCCTCCTAGGAGTTCAAAGTGGCTAACAACAAAAACAATAAATACATATTTAAAATCGAGGCTTGAACAATTAAAAAGGTATTTCCATTTGCTGCATGGGAAGGGCAGCAGCAAATAACACAAGGACAATCAATATTTAAAATATATATATCTAAAATAGGCATTAAAAACGTCACGTTAAAATTGCAGACTAAATGCTTTCCTAAAAGGAAGGTCTCTATGAGCGTTGGGAAAGTTATTCACGACGAAGTGAGCTAAGCCTCCCTGAGAAGGGAATTTCACTGCCTAGATGCAGCCACCCAAAGGCCCTCTCTCTAGTTCCAACCAAATGGATCGCATGTGTCGTTGGGACGACAGGTGAGCAGGGTCAGACGGGAGCAGGCGGAAGCTCTTCTGCCTTCTGATTCCAAGGCAGAAGAGCTTCCAAGGCCGTGATCAGCCCTTTGACTTGTACCCAAGCACATACCGGAAGCTGCTGTTTCAACAGAAGAGTTACGCTTGCCCCGCATGCGCTCCTTCCCCTGATCTCCACCAGGCTAAAGTTTTCCGCCATTTCCAAGTGTGTGCCTTTGTGCACTACAGGGAGCCCTTTCATAGACGCTGCCTTCTGAAACTATCTGCCAAAATCAGCCTAGTGTCTTTAAGGTGCCACCGACAGATTAACATGACCGATTCTCTGGAATTTGAACAGGTTGGTTCACTTCAGATCATTTATTTATTTATAGTTTTTTATCCCACCCTTCACAATGTCTCAGGGCAGTATTTATTTTTAAATATGCGGCTGCCTCCTTTCACCCTGACAGATGACGCTTCACGGTAATTCTTCGCATTCCTACAAACTAGAAATCAGGTGAGCCTGCTGTTCTCCCTGAAATTTTGTTTCATTTTAGTGCAGCAAAGAAGTAGAGATGGGGCTAAGACCCATATGAGAGGGCAAAAGTTTGACAGTTTGTACCTCCACAGTCTCTTCCATTCAAATATTCCAGTAAGTCAAGCTAATCCAGCTATTTTCCAGATTGGCAGGCCTGTTTTCAAAAAAGTTTACTGACACCTGACACCAACCCTGGAGACAGCAAGAGGAAATCCCTTATTTAATGCCCTCTTGCCAGCCAAGCATTTGCACCCTCTGACGAGGAAGCACGCTGTGGCTGTGACCTGAAAGCACTGGCTCTCATGATCAAACAGCCCACTGAGCTGTGCACAGGTGGTCATTCTGAACACTGAAGCCACTATTGTATTTATGGCTAATGTGAGGCTAATGCAAGGGTTATTTAACCTTCCAACAACCCACCCCTGCCAGGTTCAGATGACAATATTCAAAGCAACCCAGAGCATGCCTTAAGTATGCCAGAATGGGTTGTGGTGATGCACTGAACAAGGTCCATGTCACTCCAATGCAGGCCTGTGCATGTGAATGTCTTCTGGCTTTATCATTTAGTCACAGCTGTTCTGTGGTTCTGTCAGAGGTCACCTGCAGAACTTTGATTTTGGGGGTGCTCTCACTGAAATGAGCAAAAGTGCTTGTGCATGGGGGAAATGTTCCACTGCTTTGGGAGTGGGGGCCTGAGTCATATTCCTGTAGAAGGTCTTCCGCTCCTCTCCGAAGCGACGCTGCCCTTGCTGCTCCTTACACCTAGCACTCCCAGCACACTTCGACAGTGCTGACACACGCACCCTCTTCCTTTTAAAGGATAGCATGTGAATAAGTCCCACTAGAATTGATGGGACAGGTGAGCAGATGCACAGCACTGCACCGTTCATCTCTCCAAACTGATCCCCATTGAGGGACTGTGGAACCCCAGGTCGGCAGGCCAAACAAAGCCTCAGAGGGCCCGAATTTGGCCCTCTCGGGTTGCCCAGACTGGCACACACTCTTCCCCTCACCCTGTATTCCTTCCTTTACCACCAATCCGTTGGTGGTTTCCTGGGTTTTGTGCTGTTTTTCCCCATTCTAAAAGGTTGGGCATCAAAAGAGGTCCGTCACTTCTGCCCAATAGGGAAAACAGGTCTATAGATGTGCAGCTTAAGTGAATGTCCATTTAAGGTTTTCATTACAATTGCATTGGCTTTCCAGGGGTCTCAGGGTCTTTTCCCCCAGCTCTGCCACCCAAGATTGTTTGTTACAAGATCTCACAGACTAGACCTGAGGCCTTTGCTATTCAGAGCAGGTGCTTTACCACTCATCCAGAGACCTATTCCCTTCCCAGAGCAGTAAGAAAGCAGTTGCTTCCGGCAGTAGGTCTTGGATACTACTCAGGGTAAGAAAGCAGTGAAGGGACAGGTCTGACCAAAGGGCAGAAACGACAGCTCTCCTTGAAATGATGGGAACTGCACATGAGCCAATGAGGAGCCCTGCCTAGTGCCTCATGTTTGCCTTGCTCTGGGCAGGCCCAGCGTTTACACATGCATGCTTGTGGGTGAAAGGGGGAATTCTGATCGGTGGGGTTGATTGGACAGATGAAAGTTAAGGAGTGGCATTTACTTTGGGGCTGACTTAATGCTGAGTACAAGGGTGTGACCTCTGACAAGTCGCTTGAGCATGTGCCTCCAGAGGCTCTCGGCATGCAGAAATCTCCTTGCTGTTTACACAGTCCGTGCCCTGTGCTCAGACACCCTGCCGCAGCCAAGCGGCCACTGGTGTGCCTGCTGCTGTTCACGTACTCTAGGCTCTGGTGCAGTCCTGCTGCTGTTCGTCAATGCCGTCTCCCACCCCTACCCCCTTTTGTCCCCGCCCAGAAACATCTGTTGAAACATTTCTCACAACAATCAATGCTTACTACACTTTCTGGCATGCGCCATTCATGACCACATCTCCATCTGGATGTGTTCGTGGGGCTGCACACAAGGGCAGCCCGGCTGTATCCCGGTCACCAGCCCCAGCCTGATCCCTGCCTCTCCCAGGCCGGGCAGCCCTCCAAACCTTCCTCCTTCTGTTTGATTTAGGTTGGAGCTACTGCCTGCCTGGTGAATAATTTATTTGTTTCAAGACAGGGTGAGCAAAGGAAAAGGGAGCTCAGGTTACCCTGGGCTTGCTTGGTGCTTCTTCCCACAGGGGAGGGGAAACAAACAGCCTGGATTTAGCCCAAATCCAAAGAAGTTGGAACTAGAGTCAAGGACTGTCACTAGGATGACCCTCCCCTCCCCTTGTAGTTGCCACTCATATGGAGGCAAAACAACTGGCATTTTCAAAAGAACAACAGCTCCCTGTCTGGACCAGAGCGCTCCCCTCCCCACCGCAGGGCATCCCGATTTTCTGGCCATTCTCCTCATGCAGGTGCAGGAGCAGGAGCAGGAGCAGGGGGTCTCTGCCTGCATCATTCTTCTCTACCAAGAATGGGATGTACTGAGAAACTGATCCGGAGCACTTGCCCCACAGCCTCTCCCAGGTGAAGGCACATGTGGGACTGAAGGAAGATCCCAAGCATGTTATCCCCAGAAAGTTATCTTTCTAATCAATGGTTTTTTAAAATGGGTGCTCCATTTCCTGCAGGGACATTACATGCAATAGCCACTAGCACGAGTTACCTGTGGTAAGAGAGCATTGCGTATAAGGAGATGGGATGGGAGAAGTGCTTCACAGACATTGTATCTGTAATTCCCACATCCAGCCAAGTGGGCCCCTGCTTCCGGCCCTAGTCCAGAGGCAGCAGCGAGCCACCCTGCTAGGCTGGCCGGATGCAAAAGAGGACAGGGCTCCTGCTCCTTCAATAGCTGCGCAGAACTGCGAGTTCAGTACTTGTGCATGAAGAGCTACCCCCGGCTCAAATCCCTCATGCTGCACTGTCCTGCTTGGCACTGGGCCACCTTGCATGCAATATATCCAGGTCTGAAGCAAAGTGTGAGCTGGGAAGGCCTGCACTCTTAGCTAATTCTCGTGTTTAGGGCCAAAGTAGGTAGCACTTTCATGAAGTGTTTGAATACCGTGCTTGGGATTCCCGTTTTACCTTCTTTCTTGTTATGATCTACTGCGCACCAGGACTACCGTGTGTGTGTGTGTGGGGGGGGTTAGCCCAGCTTTTGCCGGTCTGGTACCCTCTAGATGTGCTGAACTACAACTCCCACAATTCCAAAAGCAACACAGCCAAGTTGGAGAAGGCTACATTTGCCTGCTGAAAATCTATCCCCACCCCCCCTCTCCCACAGTATTTGCAAATAACAGGTCTGGGGACAAGTGGTTTCAAGAGGTGATTTTCAGCAGTAAAATGGCTTAGTGCCCATGATTTAGTGCCATTAAGTGCACATGGCTCTTTGCAGGATACAACAAGGCAGGTCCCTCTTTCCCTATGCTGTGTTTCTGACTGGGACACTGAGGGGGTCTTCTGAGCAACTGCAGTTTATAAAGAAAAAGGTACAGGGAATCTCCATCACAGGAC